ACTACAACTACTACTACTACTACTACTACTACTACTACTACTACTACTACTACTACTACTACTACTACTACTACTACTACTACTACTACTACTACTACTACTACTACTACTACTACTACTACTACTACTACTACTACTACTACTACTACTACTTTAAAGCACTAACGCCTATTGGACAGGGAAGGGGAATCACCCTAAACCTGTTCCTCCTCCTCCTCCTCCTCCTCCTCCTCCTCCCTCCTCCCGAGCCTCCGCTGCCCGCCACTCCGCCCCGTTGTCTCTATCTTTCTCTCTCTCTCTCTCTTCCTCTCCCCTCGCCTCCAGTTCCTGCAGATTATCCCGTTCTCTCGTCCCTTCCCACCCACCTTCTCCCCGTTCTCCGGCCCTCCTCCTCCCCTCCTCCGTTCCTTCCCCCACGTTCTCCCCCTGCTTCCCTGCGGAGGAGGAAGGGGGAGGGAGGAAGGGGAGCTCGGACTGTCGGTCGCGCTGTGTGCCTTCGAGATGTGCCCAACATCGCGCACGCGAAATCCCCAAAAGAGTCCTGCGCTGGCTTCGCGCTCGAGAGGAGCAGCGAACCCCGTGCCAAAAACGTATGGGCCAGCACAGGCACAGAGAAAACGATAAAGATGGAAGGGGGCCCAAAAGTATACACCACCACCACCTGTCTCCACCCCTCCCTCTCGCTGGAAAGAGGAGAGAGGAGGAATCGACGTGGTGGTGGTGGAAATTCTTTGGGCCCCCAGAAGGGGGGTCATATATCCGAACGCGCCCAGCAAACGCCTGGGAGCGCGAGAGCCGTGAATGACCACGAGCAGCGGCCCGCCCCCCCCCTGCGCGCAGGACCTCCCAGTCCGCCCTCCTGACTCCCCCATGGTCGCGGGAGGGATCTCTTCCCCCTCCTTCAACTCGGCGTCCTCCCCCAGTCCTTATCTTTTTTTTGTTCTCTCTTTTTTTTCACCGTCCTGTTTTTCTGTCGTCGTCCTCCTCCTGACCACCCCCGCTCCCAACGCCACGTCCTGAGGCTGCAGACTGCGATCAACCTCCTGCGCGTGTGCGAGAGCTGCCTAAGTTTAAGGGAAACCGCCCGTCAGTCCCAGGTATAGGTGGGTGGGTGGGTGGGGTGGTGGTGTGGGGGGGCAGGGGAAGATGAGGAGCAGGGGGGGCGAAAGGGAATCGAGACTCGAGAGGGTCGAGGGAGGGGATCGAGGATAGAGGGAAGGACAGGATTCGGGAGGGGACGTGTACTGGCTCAGAGGGTGCTCGGCGATGGATCCCCTGTAAATCAGCGACGAGCCCACGTGAGCGACGCCGCACACTCCCGGACCAGGGGTGGGGGGTGGGGTGGGCAAGCCCAGGTCGGCGATGTGTGGACAGTGGGCTGTCGATGTTCCCGCCTGGGCCAAACCCAGGGAGGTCTCTGGAGGCACAGCCCAATCCATCTGAGCGAGGCATGCCCCGCTTTGCAGAGAACCGACTGACTGCATGAACGTTCACCCGTGGAGGCCCGCACGAATTTCTCGGGTCGGTCCTGGACACTCCTTCCCTGGAGCGCGACGCGCTTCAGGGGCGGCGCCGGAGGTGCCGCCAAGGTGGGTGGGGGGTCCAGGACCTTCGAACATGTAGTGTTTGATTGTTGAGGGGTGGTGGAGGAGAAGTCCGATGATGAGGGGGGGGTGATGCGGCGGCGGGGCTCCACCAGATCTCAATGGCCTCCGCAGCGCATAACCTCGGAGCCCCAGAATCTGTCCTGAGGAAGAGGAGCTGAGAGGAGACGGCGGGGGGAAGCGGAGCGGGAGGAAGGGGAAGGAGGAGCGGGAAGGGATGGAAGGACAGACAACAGCACACAAAGAGAGAGTGTCTGTGTGTCTGTGTGTCTGTCTAGACACACAGACACACAGACACACACACACACTCACTCACTCACTCACTCACTCACTCACCCACTCACTCACTCACTCACTCACTCACTCACTCACTCACTCACACTCACACACACTCACACCCACTCACACCCACACACACCACACACACACACCCACACACACCCACACACACCAACACACACACCACACACACCCACACACACCCACACCCACACCCACACGCCCACACCCACACCCACACCCACACCCACACCCACACCACACCACCCACACCACACCCACCCCACACCCACACCCCACCCCACCCACACCACCACACCCACAACCCACACCCACACCCACACCACACCCACCCACACACACCCACACCCACACCCACACCCACACCCACACCCACCCACACCCACACCACACCACACACACACACACACACACACACACACGCACGCACGCACGCACGCACGCACGCACGCACACACACAAACACACACACACACACAAGCGGTGTCGCACGGTGACGCGGGGACACGTCGCCAACTGGCCGAGTCGGCGGGTAGGCCCCACGGGGCCCCCTGCCGTCCTCTTATGGCGTTCCAACACACACACAATCACACACACACACACCCACACCCACACCCACACCCACACCCACACACGCACGCGTGCACGCGCGCACGACGCACGCACGCACGCACGCACGCACGCACGCACGCATACACACACACACACACACACACGCACGCACGCACGCACGCACGCACGCACGCACGCACGCACACACACACACACATACACACCAAAACACACATATACACACCAACACACACACATACACACGCACACACAGGCACACACACACACGCACACATCTACACACACATGCACACACACACACACACGCACGCACACACCAACACGCACACACAGAGACACACGCACACAAACACGCACGCGCAAACGCACACGCACGCACGCACGCACACACGCACGCACGCACACACACACACACACACGAACATACACACAAACGCAGACACAAAAACACACACACAACACAACACACACACACGCAAACACACATTCATTCAAACGCACGCACTCACTCACGCACGCGCGCACGCACACACACACACACACCAATACACACCCACGCACCCACGCACGCACGCACGCACGCGCGCACACACACACACACACTCGGAGGTCCGCGCGGATTTCTTGGGTCGGCGCTGCCCCCCCCCCTGCCCTCACCCCTTCCCTGGCGCGCGGAACGCTGGAGGCGCCGCCTACGGGTGCAGGGAGGGGGGGCTCCACAACCGAGCGGACGAACGCACTCCGGAGACCTGCGTGCTCCGCTCGGCTGCCCGCTCGGATGCCCATGAGTGGGCGGGCGAAGAACGGTATAAAACATACTTTTCTGCCGTCGGGGACGCCTGCCCCATGGCGGCTAGTTAGAAGGCCTATACCCCGACGTGCCACTGCAGGGGTACAAACTTTCCAGCTGCCATGGGGCAGGCGTCCCCGACGGCGGAACAGATCTCTTAATATACCGTTCATTGTCCCCTATAATAGGGCATGGCGCTGGGGGCCGCGGCTTCAGCGAGGGAGGCCATGAGCTCAGGCACGTCTGCGCGGGCATCAAATTCTCGACGCCGGTGCTGCTTACAGGGGAGCGAGCGGGGAGCAGGAAGGTCTTGGCCCCAGGGCCCAAGGCTTGGCCCACATCGGCGCCTTCCCTTGAGACGCCGACCGCGGCACCGCCACAGCCGCCTCCTCCTCCTCCTCCTCCTCTTCTCCTCCGCTCCGCCTCGAGGAGGCCGAGCCGACCCAGGAAAGCCGACCCAGTGCCGGACCACCGACAGCGTATGTATGTGCGCTCTTCGCCCTCGAGGGAACACCTGGGAGCACAGGTGACGGCCGCAAGACTGCCGCGGGCGCTGCTCATTCCGGCCACGTGCTGGCCAGCACGCCTCGTCCCGCATCAGCGCGCCGACCCTGCGCCCTCGCTGCTGCGCGACGTCCAGGCCATCATCTGTGGACTGGGCGCTGGTGGAGCCTCCTTGGAGGGCAGCTTGGACTCCAGCTGCGCGCTCTCGAGCATCGCGCTCATGTTGATGCTCAGCAGGGCGGCGACAATCTCGCAGCACGCCCGCAGCACACGCGCGGTTACTGGACGGCACTGCGGGGAGAAAACGAAGTAACCGAGGGCGAAGGCGAAGAGTGAGAGAAACAGGTCGGACGTAAAGGTATCTTCGCAGGCTTTCGCCGATGGCACAAATACTGAAGCCGCATCCGAGGCCATATCTGCCAGCCCCCCCTGGGGGGCACTGGGCGACGAGGTGGTCCTGGACTTCGGCCTCATTTTCGTCTCGTGCCCCGCGTGCCGGGGAGGCAAAGCCGAGCGAAGGCAAGATAGATCCCGCCCTTCCTGGAGCAAGACCGAACAGCTTTGTTTTCCACCCGTCCGCGGCACGTGCGTCCGTGGTTGTACCGCGGTTGTCCCACGGTTGTCTCGTGGCTAAATCCCGTGGCTGTTCCCTAAGCGGCTATCCGACGTTCCCGCCAGCCCTCTGGGCGTTAGTAATGGCTTGACCATGCCCGCCTCCAAACCCCCTACTTCCCCCTCGGGGAGGGGTTCGCCCCTCCCCTTTCGCATTCCCCTGGGTCTGGGCTGGGGGCGGGGCCGAGCGGTCAGAGCGTTCAGGATGGCTCTGCGATGCTCAAACAGCCGCCCCGAGATGATCCGACAAAGCCGCATGGGGGTCCCAACCTTAGTGGGCCCCAGAAACGGCAGGGCCGTTTACATCGTTTCCGACAAGGTGTCCCTTGAATATGGAAACAATAAGAAAAACGGCGACCGGAAACGGCAACAAAAACGGCTCCAGGAGTGGAACCGGAGCGGGAACCCGTAAAACAACGGCGACCGAACCGGTAAAAAAACGGCGTCGGAACCGGCAAAAAAACGGCAAAACGGAACCGGCAAAAAACGACCCTGTCGTTTCCAGGGCCCACTCAGGTCCCAACATAGCCCCAACAGAAACCCCCAAGTCAGGCGCAGTCGGGTGTGCACGCGTCAACAGGCGCAGCCCTTATTATATGATTCCCGCGCAGAGCGGGCTATGGCTTTCAAGCTGCCTGTGGGTGCCTTCGTACAGCAGGGAAAAAAGAAGCCCTTCCCTGCTTGAGTCAGAATAGCAGCGGGTGGTGAGGCCGGAAAGAAGAAGAGGAGCAGCAGGAGAGGGCGACGTGAGGGTGAGGCAATGGCGAATGGTGGTGGCATGATGATATAAAGACACGGATGAAGGGGAGGGCATCGACCAACCGTGACACTCGAAATCGTGTCGGAGCACACGTCCGTCGCATGCTCCACTGCGCAGAAGTACGACACGCGCTGCCCCAACAATCACTATTTGTCAAACAGCGGATTCCGAGAGCGAACGCCGAGCAGGACTTGCCGACCGCGAACGGGGCCCATCGAACGACAGCATGCGGACTTGATCAGGGGTGGCCTCAGGCACGCTTGCTGGCTTCTGAGGGCACCTCTGCAGGGCGCGAGCCGGTGGCTGTTCCTGTGCCATTTTTGCCCGACCGCGAGGGTCTGCGCCCGCCTCCCCTTCCTGCCCCCCGCCTTCTTCTCCGGCTTCGGGCGGGTGCTCCTGCGGGTTGACCCACACTGGGGGGGGGGAGACAAGGGTCCCTAATGGGGGCCCTCTATAAGGCCCCTTTGGGAGCCAGCAGGGGCCCGAGAGCCTAGAAAGTGGCCGAAAGGGCCCTCTTCTTCACCCCCCATCGGGCTCGCCCCATTGTAACACCCGCCCGACCGTTCTCCCGTTCTCCCTCGGGCGTTGGTAGATAACTGGGTGTAGCGGAGCCTGGTTTAGTAAGTGATCTGTACCGGGGGCGCCCCCCCGTCCCATTTCCACGAACCGGAACTGCCGTCACCCGAAAAAAAAACACCAGCTATGGCAAACCTGGTTTAGTGACTCTGGCCAATTCGAAGGCTCTGGTGCCCTACCACTAACCGGGCCCCCTTACACGGGGTCTTGGCCATACCCGACTCCCTCTCACTCCCGTTCCCCAGGCCCCTTCCAAACCTCCCCGCGCCTCCCGGCGCCAGAGGCGGCTATATATCGAGGAATGGGCCCCTCGGTGAGGCCAAAGCCAGCCGCATGCAGCAAACTTCGTACCCCCCCCCTTTCCCAATCCCCCCCCCCTTCGTCCGGCCCGACGTCCCCCGGGCCCCCTCCGAAACCTCCCCTCTGCTCACGGTGCGCACAGGTCCCCGACGGGGCTCGGCGCCCCCGCCGCTCTGGGAGCGGCCCCGGGAGCGAGCGCGCAGCGTGCCCCGCACGGGGGGCAGCGCTCCGCGCCTCGTGGCTCTGCGCAACGGCCCGCCCCACTGCGCGGGCCACCACGACACGGCGGGGCCGAGCCTCAAGGGGAACAAAAAGTGGCAGAAACATAAAAACTCGGAGGTCCGCGCGGATTTCTCGGGTCGGCGCTGGGCCCCCCTCCCTGGCGCGCGGAGCGCGCCAGGGGCGGCGCCGGAGAGGCGCCGCCAGGGGGGCCCAGCGCCGACCCGAGAAACCCGCGCGGACCTCCGAGCTGTTATGTTTCTGCCACTTCTTGCTCCCCTAGCTTAAGGCATGCCAGCTTCTGTAGACAGCCGCTCTGGGACTCCGCTCCGACGAACGGCCCTCGCAGCGAGCCGCTTCCTGCCGGCCCTCGGGGTCCCCCCGGCGGCCCCTCGGAAGGCCCTCGCCGCCCCGCTCGCCCGAGGGAGCCTGGCCGTGCCTCCGCTGCCCGGCAGCGACAGCTTGAGCTTCCGCTGCAGGTCCTCGCTGGGAGCGCCAGGAGAGGGAGAGAAGACTTGGGCGAGAATCGGTGCGATACAGGGGGGAGGGGTACAGTCGGGGCGTTGACCTGAGAAGCCCTAAATAAGGAACGAGGCCCCTTTTTTCCCGTATATGTATCTGTTAAACTCCGATTTTCCATGGAAGAACTCAGGAAAACCCAAGGAGCACTGTAGAGCAACTAAGGGGAGGAGGAGGAGGAGGAGGAGGAGGAGGAGGAGGAGGAGGAGGAGGAGGAGGAGGAGGAGGAGGAGGAGGAGGAGGGGGAGGGAGGAGGAGGAGGAGGAGGAGGCAGGAGGAGGAGGGGGAGCCCCTCCCCAACAAAACGGGCTCCTCCTTCAGGGCCCCGACTGTAAGACAGGTGCCGATCTCGGGCCCGCGGGTTCCTCTCCTTGGGCCCCCCACACAGGCCACCGGGGAGGGCCCATTCGAGGGCCCCTGCTGTGCAGCCCCCGCTGCCCCCGCATTGATCGCCCCCCCAATCCATCGGGGATGGACAGAGCCCCCTTTCGCAGAACATGGCTTTGTGAAAACGACCTGAGGCCCAAACCTGGCGGGCGCAAGCCTGGAAAATAACGGCCACGGCGCCCTCTCGAGAACCGAAAACGGACAAAATTCACTAATCGACGTGTCACTGTTGGGGGTTCTGCCCACCCCCGAATTGATCGCGGCCCGAAGAGACCGGGACCTCCCGCGTCGTGATTCCTTCGATCCCGTCGCTGTCCCTCGCCCTTCGGCCTCGGGGGGTCCGTTTTTGGGCGCTCGGAACGCCGGCCAGGAGGGAAGCCCGGCGGTGCCGTCCCAATGTCGATGGGGGGGGGCTTCTTCGGTACGGCATGTCATTTGATCGATCTCCTCCAAAATGCCCCAAGACGGCCCCAAGAGGTGCCCAAGAGGCCCCAAGAGGCACCCAAAACGCCGTCAAGATGCCTCCACGAGGCTCCCAAGAGACCCCCAAGAGGCACCAATGTGCCCTAAGAGGCCTCGGCGAACGAAAACAAAATCATCGATCCGACTAAGGTGTTGGCTACATTTGGGCATCCTGGGGGGGGGGCTAATTTGGAACGGCCCGTCCTTTGATCGATCTCCTCCAAGGCGGCCCCAAGATGGCGCCCGAGGCTCCCAAGGGTGGCCCCAGACGGCCCCAAGAGGTGCCCAGGAGGTCCCAAGAGGCACCCAAGACGCCGTGTCAAGATGCCTCCACGAGGCTCCCAAGAGCCCCCCCCCCTGCCCCAGAGGCATCCCCCAGAGGCACCCGAGACGCCCGTCGAGGCCCCTGGGACTGCTGAGACACCTCTAAGACGCCCCAGGAGGACTCCAAGAAGCTACCGAAGGAAAATCCCAAGAGACTCATGAGGCCTCTGGCCTTTCTGCTCGCCGTCCCACTCCTCCTCCTCATCCTCCTCTTCCTCATCCGCCTGTTCCTCCTCTTTCCTCCTCCCTCCTCCCCCTCCCCCTTTCCCGAATCCTCCTCCTGCTCCTCCGATCCCTTCTCCATCCTCCCTCTCTTGGCGCATGACATCTTGCCCAACTCTTTATTACACTGCATGCTCCTCCACATCCCTGATCAAAACAACTCGTCTGGGAACCGTTTCTAGATGGGCTGGTGGGGTTTCACGAACCGTCTAGAATAGAATTGCCTATTTGGCAGGGTGAACGCGTTTCTGTCCAGAGTTCCATGACCATCGCGATGTAGCAAGCATGGCACATGGGACTCCAAGGGGGGACAGCACGGGCCCGTTCGCGCCCTGATTTGACGGCAACTCCCAGGCAGGCTTGCAACTTTGGCAAGGCATACGCGCCTCTTTCCAGAACCTCATGACCATGGCGATATAGCGGGCATGGCGCTTGCGCCTCCCAGGTGTAGCCCGGGAGGGGGTACATCACCAGCCCGCCCGCGCCCAAATATATCACTGGCCCGCTCGCGCCAAGAGTGTCGGGAACCATCGGAAAGAACTGTCAGTTTGGCGGGGATAGGCGCGTCTCAATTCAGTCCCATGATCATCGCGATGTAGCAGGTATGGTGCGTGAACCTGCCATGGGGGTCCCTCCAGGGGGTATATCGCAAGCCAGTTCGCGCCCAATGTGTCAGGACGTCTCGGCTAGCATTACTGCTTCGGGGCCACAGCCCCATGATCACCGCGATGTAGCAAGCATGGCAATTGAGGCCTCCCACAAGGAACCCGCCATGGGGTATAAGACGGCCCGTTCCCGCCAAAATTGTGGGGTCTTCTCGGGTAGAATGGCCGTTTTGGCAGGTCTGCCCCGTGATCATCGCGGCGCAGCTCGCGTTGCGCTGGGGTCTTCTCGGGACCCGCCGGGCGCGCTTCTTCGCAGAACCTCAAATCTCATCGCGGTGTAGCGGGCATGGGGCTCGGGCCTCCCACGATGGGACCCGCCAGGGGGCATCTCACGAGCCCGTTCGCGCCCAGATTGTCGGGGCGTCGCAGGCACAATGGCCGTCTTGGCGGGGTGGGCGCGTCTTTTTTCATAGCCCCATGTTCATCGCGGTGTAACGGGCATGGCACCTGGGCCTCCGGGAGGCATCTCCCATGCCAACTCCTGCCCGGATCGACGCGACCCCTCGGGAAGGACTGTCTTGACGGGGTCGACGCGTCCCTATCCCGAGCGCCACCACCATCGCGATGTGGCAGACATGGCACGTAGGACCTCCAGAGAGGGCTCACAGCACGTGGCAGACATGGCACGCAGGACCTCCAGAGAGGCCTCACAGTACAGTGCCGTTTTTTTTTATACATGCTCCGCGTGCGGATCATGTATTACAAATGCAGGGATCTAGTATTAAAAACAGCGATGAGTTCACGCATAAGTTTATTCATACAGTAGCCATGTAGCTGAAATCATGTTTTAAATCCTATGTAGGAAAAGCTGCCCTGTGCTGGCCCCTTCGCGCCCTGCTTGTCGGGAACTCCTGGGCGCGCCTCCTCTCCAGACCCCCCCATGTGGTGGCCGCGGTGCCGCGGGAAGGCCGCCCCGGGGCCTCCCGCGGGTGGCCCCGCCCACAGGGGCAGAGACCCCGCGGGCCCCCCTCCTCCTCCTCCTCCACCTCCACCTCCTCCTGCTCCTCCTCCTC